AGGGAAAGATAAGAAACAGGTACTCAAGCCATGGCGTTGAAAATATATTTCTGAGACCAGGAGCGATTTTTTTCTTTTAGAGTGATCCTTTAGAACAGTTCAACTTCCTTACTGTAGGAAGTCCAGATCTGCTTTTCAATCTCAACCCTAAGATTGGAAACCCTTAAGTGCTGGCTCTTCATTCTCTGCAAACACCAGTTTCCTAACTTTCGGAGTTTATCCCAAGTGTGAGAAACATTTGTAATTTCAATAGACAAAATGACTAGCAGTCTTTGTATGAAAGAGCTTTAAGTATTAATTCATCTGAGTGAAGGGAGAGTTATCTGAAAGATTCTGTAGGAACTACATCCAGTATTTTTCTGAAAGGTGTTCAAGGCACACCTGAGAATGTTAATTAATAGGACACCAAAGCCTTATGAGCCTGACAACTTAATTCTATCAAGGCAAGAATGTAGGAAGCAGAATAGTGATCAAGCTTCTCTCGTGGTAAGTTGGTTTATTTTTGCCCCTTTCAGCTGGCAGGATATCTTGTATACTGCCTAGCATGCTTCAGAGTAGTAATCATTCAATCTTTTAACATATATCTTCAATAAATGACATTACATTTTGCATGTAGTTTGGTATCTTAGCACAATTTTCCTCCCTCTGTGTTAACCATCTAAAAATGTTTCTATCTTGTTTTGCTAACGGAGTACACAAGGAAATATTGGGTATTCTGATTTCATAGACTGCTGCTGAAATCTTAAGAAAGATTCCTAAGATTTAACATTACAAACTTTCATACACACTGAAAATATGATATACTTTACTTCTCATCATGAAATAAATCTTTGTGCCCAAAAGGAATGAAGAAAACAGCTGCAAGGATACAGATTTCTGCAAAAAATTGATATAAAAACCAAGAGACAATTTTTAATTTTTTTTTATCCATAAAACTGTAAACATGGGTACTGAATGAAATTTTGCATAAGGCAGTCAGTGCAGCAGTGATGAATTATTCACTTTCAGAGGTGACATGCATAAAGAAGAAGAGGGAAATCAGCCTTTACACTGACAGCCTACTAATGGGACAAGCACAAAGTTCACAATCAGCAACAAAAATTCTGCTATCTGCCGAAGATCTGCATTCTGCAAAGATGACTGTCTACAGATTCATCTTACACACCTTACCTACTGTGTGTGGATATTTGTTCTAAAACAGCAGAAGGTTCACTATTTTCAGTATAGATGAGAATATTAGAAACTGTATTTCTAGCAATATGTAACATACAATTTATTAATTTATTAATGTGAATCTTTTCAGGCTGTAATAACTTGTTTTTAATTGAAAAGCATCATATAACTAATATATGTTGGGTGGGGGCAGTGCTTTAAGATTAACAGTGACTAATCTGCAGAAATCTCATGAAAATGTCTTACAAACAAAACTGCATTACCACCTCTATACAGTTTACTAGGTTATTATATAAAATATTAGTTTCCCTCCAAAGCATACTTCATTATTTAAAGATGTCTGTGCAGAATACCAATCAAAGGTATTCTAAAGAGCATAAACATCTGCAGTCACCAGAGCTCCTGGATAACTTTAGCAAAGTAATAGGATAGTATCCTTTAAAGAGAAAAGGAACATCTGCTGTTGGTTACCAACTCTTTCCATCAGATTTTTGTTAGGGTAGAAGAAACTTGAAACCACAGTTTCAATCCCCAAAATGTAGATTGTTATTAACTTCATAGTATTTAGACCATTTTATTACAGATATTTATTCCTTGTATTTGCAAAGCAAGCATCTCACCTTTGGATCTCGGAGAAAAAGTGCTCTTAGGATAAGGGAGTGAACATCTCCAATAGGTGGATAATGCAACAGAAGTCCCAAACAGGTCTGATAATTACTTGAAATCACTGCAATGAAAAAAAAAAAAAAAAAGAGGGAGAAAATGTGAAATATTAGGATCCTATTTTGCTATTGCAAACCAACACTTTTTCAGTAGATTCATTACAGTTCAGATACAGCTTCCTTTTCCCACACGAAGTCTCCTAGAAGTCAAGCAGTGCTCAGAGCAAGAGAAGACACTGCATTATCAAGCTTCAAGACTACACTTGGTCCAGTAGCATTAAGGACAACACCAAACCTACCACTGACTTTATATGATAGACATTTATGTTAGCTCTGGATTTAGATGCCTAAATCTAGGTCTCTGTAGCTGTGCACCTAAAGCCTGCCTGAGTCAGTGGAGGTCAGGGCAATACAGTCAGTGTAGCCTGAAGAACTAGTCCTACATTCCAAAAAGGACACTTTCAGACACTCATCTGCAGACACCTAAATTTAAGTATGATAGTCTGTGATATAAATTTTACATTTCGGCCTGCTTTTATAGTAACTTTTCCCCACTCTAGCAATCCTTTGCTGAAATATATTTTATGTTGTTCTTACGTACATATATGCCACCAACCCCCCCAGTTTATACACGCATACAAAATTATGTCAACAACTCCTGGTTTTCTTGTAAATCAGAAACTATTCCTGGAATATTCAGGAAAAAGGGAAAAGGGTAGATTTCAATTTCATAAATGCTTGAAAATATAATATACCATTAACTGTATCATTTTTTTGTTACTTTTCAGCATGCTTTGCTGAATTTCAGCATTTATTTTTTTTTAAATTGTGCTTGCTTTTCTCTGAACCTGTGTAAGTATACTCTATAGCTCTTTGCTTGTCATTGTTGTAATCTGTTTTGTGTTTTTCTTTCCCCAATCAATCTAATTATGAGTGCAATTATTAAAGACATCTTTTCAGGCAGGTCTACGTAAACTACTTCATTTCTTTTGTACCATCTAAAGCCAGGCAATCCATCTGCCATGGCTGTCAAAGCAATGCCTGTTAATGATGCTTGCACTCTGCAACATAAAGACAGCCTCCAACAACAGCAATTGTAAATAAATTTTTAACAAACTTTACTGTTCTAAGAACTTCAGCTGTAGAACAAATACTTCTAATTAATTAAGCTTCTACACCAGGAAGAACAATTGCAAACACAAAATTATTTGGAATCAATAAAAGGCAAAGTAAATAACTGTTATGGACAGAAACATTTAAATGTTTTACTTTTTTTCTTTCATGTGCATAAGCCTCACATCGTCCTGTACCTTTCCTCCCTCAACAAGAGGATTATGGGGGAAAGATGCAGGACTGGGCAAAATGAATAATTATAATCTGTGTAGTGAACCACTTCATCATCTTCATTTCCGTTGCTGATCCGACAGCTTGTAATTTCATACATCTGCTTTCATTTGTAAAGCACTCACTTATCCTACTCATTCTTTATCTGTTCTGCCTGTTCTTTTTCCTACCCTTTGTTTTTCTTGTTCATATTCAGGTACCTGTTTCTTCTTCTTGAAGTCACAAAGCTGGCATAATGAACACAATACAATGGTCTCCGTCAGAGTTCTTTCAGAGGAGTATAATATGAGCACCACACAGTACACAGCCAATCAAACTCTCATACGTAAATCAAATTTAAGATACTGTACTGCAATAATGATTATGATGCCTTTTTACCAAAGCAAATAAAAATACTGAAAATGGATAGTAAATTCTAAATACTTTTATAAATGATAGGCAGTAAGACCAGTGCATTTCGCTTTTGAACACATCGGTGTGTTCTATTCTGCAATGTGACATTCATTAAAATGATCTTTTATTTTTTCTGGAGAAGTTCTTTGCTGTCTCATGGATATAGAGAAAAGTAAATATTAAAAAAACTAATTTATTTAATGGTGCAGACTTGACCCATGACAAATCATTTATATTTTCAACCACAAGACTTATACTCTAATTATTAATTTCTTGAAATGTGTAATAGTGAAGTAAATGAATAATGGGAAAAAATTATCAAACAGGCTATCACCTGTGTCCCCCCATAACCCTTGAAGTTAAATTTTAATACAAAACCTTAACATCCAAATAAAGTTAAAAAAATTCCAACATTTAAATGAGGAATTTTTTATTTGTTTTATCTTTAGGGTTACCCCACATAGTTAGCTGTCCCCATTTTCATGTAGAAATCTTTACAGAAGGTATAGTTGCTGGTGCTTTATTTGCTGGGGAATCTTGGGTTAAAGGGATTATTTTGCTGAAACACCTTCAGGCACTCTTCTTTGTTTCAAAGTGAGGTGCTCTTGGACAGGAGCTGACAATGTGCACTCACAGCCCAGAAAGCCAATGGTGTCCTGGGCTGTACACAAAGCTGTGTGGCCAAAATGTGGAGGGAAGTGATTCTCTCCCTCTACTCCACTCATGTGAGACTCCACCTGGAGTTCTGTTCCCAGTGCTGGGGTGTCCAGCACAAGACATACATGGATCTGCTGACGTAGGTCCAGAGGAGGGCCACAAAAATGATCAGAGAGGTGTAGCACCTCTCCTGTGAGGAAAGGCTGAGAGAGCTGGAGTTCTTCAGCCTGGAGAAGGGAAGGCCCTAGGGGAGACCTTATTCTGGCCTTTCAGTATTTGAAAGGGGCTATAAGAAACATGGAGAAAGACTTTTTACAGGTGCCTGTAGTGATAAGAAAAGGGGCAATGGTTTTAAACTGGAAGAGGGCAGATTTAAATTGGACATAAGAAAGAAATTCTTTACTGTGAGGTTGGTGAGACACTAGAACCGGTTGCCCAGAAAAGCTGTGGGTGCCCCCTCCCTGGAAGTGTCCAAGGCCAGGTTTGATGGTTCTTTGAGAAACAGTCTAGTGAGAGATGTTCCCTCCACCCATGGGCTGGACCAGAAGATTCTTGAAGGTTTCTTCCAACCCAACCCATTCTGTGATTCTTGTTTCTACAGGACAAAATGTGCAATATTATCCCATAGAGTGGCAGTTTTCTTAAAAATGATAAAGAAAATAGCAGTAAAACAAAACAAATGCCTCTTTTCTCAATATGCATTTTGGAGTTAGAAGGATGTCTAAGATCAACAGATTTCTCCAGTCTCAGTAGTAGCTGGATGGTGCAGAGGTTCCATGGTGAAATAACTCACAGTTAGGCCAGCTGCCCTGTAATAAGCTTGGTGCTGGTGTACCAGCACTTTTCCTTCACTAGTTGGCTTGGCAAGAGTCATACCTGGATCCAACTTTTATTTTGAATAACAAGTTCTCACTTCTGCAAAGAAGAATGCTATTGGTATTTCTGGGGAAAGGAGTAGAGAAACTCCTCTATATAGAGAAAGCAATCTTACTGCCTTTTGATTAATATTTGTTAATTAACAAATGCCCAAAGGAACATTAAATTGCTTTTTCCCTTCTGCTTTAGATGAAACTGACTTTTCTCTGTTGGTCCAATAACCACTCTTGGATGCAAACAGCAAACACAGCAGTGGAAAACACTTAAACTAACTGTACCTGTCCTCAAACAAGTCCTAATTTCCTGCCACGTGTAATTTCTTTAGAGTTTCATGTTTGATGCCACCATTCCTGTATCCAGATGACTACCTAACCTGGGAAGGGTGGGACTACTTCCTCCTGCTGCTTTATACAAGACTATGCTCTCTTTAGAATGCCTGAAACTGAGTCAAACATAAATAATATGAGCATCTTGCACAGTAATAAAAATAACAAATCAGCTCCTCTAAGAAGAGGCTGTGGCTCCTTTATTTTCCTCAAAATATCCGGAGTGCTTTAAGTAAGAGCAAATATATCCTGACAACAGCCATAGTATTTCTTCAAGTAGGAACCTGATAAAAATATACTTATCCTAACACTGATCAGTCAAAATTAGCTCCTGGTGCAATAATGACGTTAATTTACTCTACAGACAGGTCTTCCAGGTTTGTTCATTTTTGTCCTTCTTTTATGGAAGAATATAGCATATATACATTTTTGCATTGCACTATCCCCTCCATTCTGATTTCAGCAACAACTGCATATTCAGCAATACTGCTGAAAAAAAATTAACATATTAATGCTTCTGATTTTACAGATTATTTTTTTTTAAAAGACTGTTTTGCATGAATTTTTCCAAAGAAACTGAAAAAAATTATTTATTAAAACTCAGATACTGTGATATACTTGCCTTGTAAGGATTACCACTCCATGGATAAAACTCTACTTGCATACAGATGTGAAACTGAATAGAGTGATTTATAGAATGGCTGTGTACTTGATTATGTATCTCTAACCTCTAAAATGTATAAAAAATACTCCAATAATCTAAATGCTCCCTTCTCCTTGAATAATAATTGTTGGAGTAACAGAAAATTTCAAAACTGAAATAAAAATAAAATTAATAATATAGCAGAAATAATGTTTTCTTAAAATCATGTCCTTGAAAACATCATAATAAAACACAGAAAAAATTCCATCAGTTCTCAAACCAGCAACTGCTCCCCCATCCCCAAATGTGTTGGGGGGAATATGTGAATCTGCATAATTCTTAAACTTTCCAATGCCTTCAGTATTGTGTTATTATAATTGCTTATGTTTGACATTTTTATAACGTAATATCTTATGAGCTCTATTACCATTCCTATTGTTTCAAGTTTTTAAACTGCAAATTTCCAGATGGTTTATTTATAGATGATTAACATCATCGGGTGTTTTAAGCTAACATTTCCTTTCACCAAATAAAGAGAAGCTTTTAGAAACTTATTTTATTTGAAAATGTTTTTAAAAATATTACAAAAGAACTTTGAACTCCATTCAAAGCTTAAGTATTTTCAGCAATAAAAACAAGAGGAAAACTGGAAAACTTTTCTATTACAGATATATAAGAAAATAAATCTTTTATCAAATAAAAAACTGTGGATATTGCTATAGTTTGAGTTTGTCTTTGAAAGTGCATTTAACTTAAAAGTATTTATAATTAGGTTTTTTTTGTTTTACCATTCTAATATGCTTAGAGTAACTAGTTAGGTCCAACTATGGAACAAGAAGGTATTTATTATAGAAACAGTATATGTATGAAGTATTAGCTGTCCTGGTGAGATGACTTTGCATCCCATCTGGAGCAAATGCACTCCACTTTAAAGCTATTTACTACTTTATTTACTAAGCCTAGGGGTTTCAGAGAGAAGACAGAGACTGATTTCATACAAATGCCTAGAACTCCTTTTTAGCTCATATTTTTAGTTACCTCATACTGATACTTGTAAAATGAGCACCACAAAGCAAAAGAAAACAAACCCAGAACAACCTTCCCTCTCCTGGGAAAGAGAAGGTATTTAAGAATACAATTCTGAAGCATTTTTTACAGGGAAATGATGACATGAAATAAAATACTGATGTTAAGAAACAGTTTTACATGCTTCTTCACTATTTATCTATACCAAAAATCTTAAGATTATTTCAGTTTAGTGCATATAAAGAAACCAGAATTATGCTGCAGAACATAATGACCTGGAATCAGATCATCCTGAAACAGCAGCATTAATTTTGAAACCTCTAAACTGAATGATATGTCCACTCCTTTGAGAGGAATGTAAAGTAGCTCTATATGCTGCATGTATTAAAAAGTAATTTAAAAACCACATGAAGGCAGGCAGAGGAACAACAGTATGTGTAAAGAACATGCACGTTACATTTACAAAATTGGGCCCTAAAATAGGAACCACAGATGTTGAAAACTTTCTGTGTCCTAGAATACAAAATTGTGTCAAATATGTGACCTTGTTATAACCTAAAGCTTACAGATGGTATATAATTAACTCTGAACAGTATGCTACAGAATTTATATATTTAATGACAGACATACATCTTACTGCAAAACACATAATTTGTTGCAGTAAAGCTGTAGATGGAATTTTTTGCAAAATACGATGAGACAGAAATAAATGCCTCATAATTAATCATTACCTGCCTTCTTCCTCCCATTCATAATTATATAAAAAACATTTATGTGATTTCCTGTTGATCCAACTTAATGTATTTCTTGGTCATTACTGACCTGTAAGAATTCACATTTGCACCATAGTTCAGGCATACTAAACTAAAAATTAAATGATCAGTTTTCTAAAGGTGCCACTCTTACATAGAATAAATCTATTTTGTAATTATTACTTGTCTCGGCATTTACATTTCCTTCAAGATATATCTTCAAAAATTATGAGTCATTGTCTTGTGCATTTTCACGTTTCTCACAGCAGAACAGCATGAAAACATTTCCAGTTGTCAAAGGGAGGTTTTACTCAATTCATGCTCTTGGTCAGAAGGTGGAGCTCTGTACATACGTGTATCGCTGACTGCACATAAAATCTGCAACTACATATAAAACCACAGAAGTACTCAGAAAACAAACCTGCATTTAACTCCAAGATACAATTTCTTTCATAAATACAGCAGACTGCATCCGATAACAAACGGCTCCTCTCCTAGCATGTGAAACCATTTTCAGTATGTTACAAGAGTCACAATGAAACTCAGCATTTAAGCCCTCTTTTTCTTCGAAAACCAGGTTTGCATTCTTTTTAGAAGATCGTGAGATAGTTGATACTTACAGGCATCTCTGATATATAACAACATGGCTACAAAAATGTAGTCAACTAAATTCAGGGTGATGCTGTCAGCAAACAGAGCATCCCAGACAACCAGGAGGTCCTGAAGTGGGAATTCACGTCCAAACAGGAGCCTTACCCATCGTCTGAAAAAAAAGGAAAAGACGTGATTTGTATTTCTCCAAGTTGCCACTCAGGGTAAAGTCAGGAAATATATTCCAGGATCAACAATAATCCCAAACATTTTACCAGAAAATTCTGCAAAGCGTGAAGGTCTGTGATAATCACTTAACTAACTGTATTTGTGGAAAAGTTACTTCATCTGCATTAAAGAAATGATACATTATGGACTGTAGAAGCTTAACTGACTAATATTATTATGCGGGTGAACCTCAAAGGTCAAAACATACCAATCCTATAGACCATATTTTTTAGCATTTAATATGATAGTGATCTAAGAGGAAAGGGATAAAATGTTATGCAAGAAGAACCTAAAGAGCAAAAAAGAGAAGGGTGAAGGCAGTGGTTTATGAGAAGCTTTGAAAAGCCCAGTCAAGTGAAAGTCAGTTCAGAGGCAGATGCCAAATCAAAAAGCAGTTAAAATGCACTGGGTCACACTTCCTTTCAAGAGGTTTCCTCTCTGTTATAGACAGTGTTTTCAGCTTCATTTAAAATATGCTATGGATGGTATTTTGATTAATTCTAATTTAAATCGTTACCAGGTTTAGTGATAATCTGCATGTAGACTATACACCATTAATTCCTGTTTGTATCTGTGCTATTCTTATACCTAGCAAAATGTGAAAATCTGTCTTATTTTAATATTTGCAATATTTGCTTGAGACTGAAAGCTTGAAATGTAGTAGAACAAAATAATTTCTCAAGATTTCTTACTTCCAGTTGAGGCACTTACACTGATTTACTTGCTGACCTCAGGAAAGGCACTTCTCTTTCCTATTCCTGAACAGACCAGTTACCTTTGTACCTGTTTAGGTAGGATTTCCCAAGGATACATTTTAAAGAGCTAAAGAATACTTAGTTACATTAATCCTGAAATAGTTATTACAAAATGGACTTAAAAATAATGAATTACATTTTTAGCTGGGATATGCAAATTACTACGCATGTGGAATCTGTTTATTCAGTGGCAAGAAAAGACTGATTGCAAATTTCTGCTAAGCAAATTAAGTCATTCTTTAAAACTCACAAAAAATTCTAAAAAGGCAACTAGAAATTCCATCAAGATTAGTTTCACTTGTAAGAATTTATGTTTAACCACTTTAGTCCCAGAACTTTTTCTTGGTTTAAGGAATCCAGGTTTTTTTTCCCCTGATTCCAGTAGTAAAAGTTCATTTATAGACAAATGAATTCCAACACATAGCCAAGCACAAGCTTTTAAGATCGTAACAACCTGTACAAAAAGACTCTCTCTTATAAAACAAATTCAAAGGTACAGTTTTGTAAGTGAAGGTTTTGTCCACTTAAACGTTTATTCCCCCTGCCACTGGAAACATACATTTAATCTGCAGAACCACCCATGTTACAGATTTAGGGATCACTACACAGAATTTTTTCCCTTGCAAGACATGTTCCCTTTTAAAAGTGAAAATCAGTGATTTTAAAAGACAGCATCATCTCATCCTTTTATCAAACATTAATGCTCTGAGGTCTTGTAACTTTTTATGTTAGTGTGGCAATTATAAAAGTCACAATATTAGCTATGACAAGCAAATTCTGTGTATTTCCCTCTCTGATCAAACTGCTTTCCTATGAGGACTTATTTTCACACCTCAGAAAGCCAAGTCAGAAGAACTGTTAACACAAAAGCAAGGCTTCGCTAATGCATTTAGTATCACGTCTGTTCTGTCTAAGGGATTTTACCGTATAGTGGCACATCACCCTCCAGTGCCTAGCCTATAGGAGTCTATTATCTTATGGTGACACAAACATTACCCAAACTCTGTGTGAAGCCTATTACTTGCATTAACAACCTCTCCCACCTGTAAAGTCTCAACTTTTAAGTTACACAAACTGTTAGGTGAGAAATTTCAGCTAAGCTTGAAGCATTTGAGCTGACTTTCCTTGCAACTACCCAAACCTCATTCAGAAGCCTTGCTAAAAGTCTAATACACTTCAAGGGAAAAAAATACACTGTGGTGTAATGGGATTTGTTATTAGTCTTTTATTAGAAATCTCTTTTCCTTCTTTACTACTTCATTATGCAGTGTTAATCGTTTGTAAATGCAGGTTTATTCTGCTCAAGCAGAAGTCATTCCTTTTTTCTCCTGCTTTTATATTTTCTCCTGGGAAAATTATGTCTCAGTCCCCAGAGGTATCATGTTTCACAGATGTAGACTGCTGAAGAGCCACTGGACTTTTCTTTTGCAACCATAATATTTCCATTAATCATTTGAACCTTCCTGTCTTGAAGGGAGTTAGCAATTAATACTGTTGTAAGTACATATATACTGATTGTTCTCTATTTTTTTCAGCAGTGTGAATCTCATAGCATCTACAAACCAAGGACCCTATTGCCTATGGACCATGCTGCCATATGGCGGGACTTCACTCAGCTTTTATATTCATAAAAAAGGATCTTAATTCCTTAAAGTAAGTGTCCACACTGAAAAGCTGTCTTTCAAACTCACATGTTTTTATTACTTTTACAAATATTTGCAAAACATTTAATAATTGCATTGGACATAACAAACTTTTTTTTTTTTCTGAGATGGCTGTCTCTGCTTTAATTATTTTTCTGTCCTGTTAATCTTGCCTTACATCTGTTACACCTGCAGACTGTGAGGCTCACAATAGCTTACCTTTTATCACATGCAGTAATACAATAATTCCTTAATTCCTATTTTACCAGGCATACTTTGCAATTCAAATCTACAAAAAAATACAGATTCTTTAAAGGCATAACACACCAAGGTACTACTACCTACATTGTAGAATATGTAACTGTATCCTCCACTTATTATTCCTATATAATTAAACCAATATTCTCCAGAGATCAGCAATTACTAGTGATAGCTAATGATTCATTAATGACCTTATAATATAGAGTAAGAAGGAGAAAACTGTGCTCTACTAAAACCATTAAATAAGGCAATGATCCAGCCTCACCAGTTTTAACTAAAATCACAACCATTTTGACTGAGATTTACAGGACAATTCTCCAAGCATCAAGAAAACTAACTTATGCTATGTGTTACATATATTCAGCTGGTTACCATCCCTGTCTTCTTGGAAGGCAGAAAGTTCTTTAAAAAGAATTAAATAAGCTTAGGAAATGGTTACAGAAAAGTCAATATAAACAGTTTAAGAGTATTTATGAGGACAAAACAACACAATGAAATGAGAAAGAATAAGAAAAACCCTAATGCTAGGAAAGTGAAAGCTACTTCTAAATCACTAAATCTAGGACCTACAATTTGTCAACAAGTTGCCTAAAAAGTCTACTTTAAGAGCCTGTTTTCAACCATTTATACTTTTGTTACACCAAATATTCAGTACAGTTTCCACACCAGGCATCTGCTCAAGGCTTAATTTTTTTTTCATTCATGGATACCTGGAAAAAATAGTCAAGTAGAGGAGGCAGGAGACCTGCATGGATAAGCAAGGAGTTACTGGAAAAACTCAAATGGGAGAGGGAAATTTACATTATGTCAAAACAGGGTCTGGTTAATTGGGAGGATTACAGAAATGCTGCCAGAGTATATAGAGACTCCAAGAAGAAAGGCCAAGGCTCTCTTGGAAACTAGTCTGACTAGGGGGGTGAAAGGAAACAAGAAGATCTTCAAATATAGCAATGAGAAAAAGAAGGGCAGAGAAAAAGTGCGTCCACTGCTAAATGAGGTGGGAGAGAGGGTAACAGAGAATGCAGAGATGGCAGAATTGCTGAATGCCTTCTTTGCCCTCTAAGACCAGCCCTCAGGAATCCCAGTCACTGGAGGTAAGGGAGCAAAACTGGAGGAAGGAGGACTCTCCACTGGTCAGTGTGGATTGGGTTAAAGATCACTTGGATAAACTGAAAACACACAAATCCATGAGCCCCAATGGGATGTACCCACGTGTGCTGAGAGAGCTGGCTGATGATGTTGCTGAGCCATCATTTCTGAAAAATCATGGAAAGTGGGAGAGGTGCCCGAGGACTGGAGGAAAGCCAGTGTCAGTTCAGTCTTCAAAAAGAGCAAGAAGGAAGACCCAGGCAACTACAGAGCAGTCAGCCTCGCCTCCATCCCTGGAAAGGTGATGGAGCAGCTGATTGTGGAGGCCATTTCTAACCACATGGAAGAAAGGAGGGTTATCAGAGGCATAACCAACATGGATTTAGTAAGGGGAAATCTTGCTTAACTAATCTGAAATCAACAACCTGGATGAGCGGATGGAGTGTACCCTCAGCAAGTTCACAGATTATACAAAACTGGGAGGGGTGGCTCCTAGAAGCTGGGCTGCTATCCAACGAGATCTAGACAGGCTAGGGAGCTGGGCAAAGGTGAATCTCATTAAGTTCAATAAGGACAAGTGTAGAGTTCTGTATGTGGGGAGGAGTAACATCAGGCACATTTCTGGGTTTCTGTGTGGGCTGCCTGAGGTGATCCTGCTTTGGCAGGGTGGTTGGACTAGAAGATCTCTAGAGGTTCCTTCCAACCCCTAACATACTATGACACTATTCATTAGAACAAGGTTAAAAAAATGCTTAACTTATTTTTTCCCTGAGCATTTCATTAAGCAGGCCTAGAATCAAAACAATGTCTCTGGTATTTTCTTTCTGCTGCAGGTATAAAAATATACCAAAAAAGAATTTAAAAAAAAAGTGTGCTGATTTGTTAACTCCTTGGTTGACATAAATACACCAGAGTGCAGATTTCCACAAAGTATGATCTGTCTCTACCTAACTCCTGCCACCAACCCAATGGTGCATCTGCCATCCCATCCTTTACCCCAACTGTACCCTCCTTCCTGCATGGGAAATGGCAAAGGTGTGTGTCCTCCACCTGCAATGGCCAGTGCCACTTAGTGGATGTGCCAGCTGAGGATGCTGTTCATCTAGTTTCCCATGCTTGCAGGACTCACTAGTGAGAATCTTCCAGAGAAAGGCAGGGTCAGTAGGATTTTGCAGGATGTCTTTTCATTTTCAGTG